CCCCCCCCCCCCCCCAGGAGCAGTCATGTGAGCCTGACTAATCATTACATGGAAGTTTGCCTACATGGTTAAAAATCTTTACTGATCTAAACCACTGTTTTTTGTTTTTAATTTTTTGCCCTGTTTAAATGTACTCTTAGCTTGTTGGTATAAAATTTAGCTCCCTGAAGATATTGTTGCGTGGACATTCTAGTCAAATCACATCTGTTACACCACAGGCTTTGATGTCTGTTAGTTTGCTTACAGAATGGCTTGTAAATCACATCTCTGCGAGATATAATCAAGTTTCTTTTTTGTTCTCTGAATTACTTTCAGAAATGCAGCCTCACTGTTATATGAACATACTTTTGACTGGAGGATGTTCACTGTTCCCAGGAATGAAAGAAAGAGTGTAATATAGAAATTTTGGTTTGACTTGAAAATGTGCAGTTGTGGCCAAATGATCTTTTTTGTGTGTGTGCTTCTTAGCAATTCGTGTTTGTCATGACCAGCTCTCTATGGTTTTGTAAAAAATGTTAGTGAATTTAAAATGAAAAATGTATTCAGTTGTCTATGGACCTAGCAGTTTCACACCAATTATATGTGACGCTATCTAAAATTGTAAAATATTGATCAAGTTAACTTACAGTTAAGATCAGAATCAAGATTGTTAGACAGATTTCGAGCCACTATGTGATAATGAAGTTCGAATTTCTTTATTTTTGTTATAGCTTCTCTGAGGTTCGATCACTTGCTCCTTATGATGTAGACGTTGCGGTTCATTGCCCATCAAGGTAAGGCTTTGCACAGTGTATGTTAAAATCCTGCAATTTTGTTACATTTTCTTACGGCAACTGTGAAATCTACAGATATTTATTTAAAAATTATTATGGAAGCGAGAAGAGAAATTAAAACAGCCGGCTACTTCCCTCTCATTATTTGAAAAGAAGTAGTTAAAAACAAAGCAATGCCAAACTAAGGTTTGAAGGTTGCCCGGTTTTGCATTAGCTTTGCCTCGCCACGCTCTATGTTTGGGCCAGAAAATTCTATTTTGTCAACCAATCACATGCAAACTGAAACTGAAATCAATCGTTTTGAATCTCTGTGCTAGAAGTTTTTCACACGAGTGTAATTTCTTCGACCTCTCGTTGTACTTGGTAAGATTGTTTTTGCTTTTTCTTACACGCCATTATTCGTTATGCACTCTACGAGGTGCTTCGCGGCTGATGTAGAATTGCAAGTACATCTGCGTCTTGGTGTTTTTTGAACCGTTTGCCTTTCGTTTCTTTCAGGCCTGTGACACATGCTTGGGAGGGTGGAGCAGCTCTGTCAAAGACGGACGTGTTTGTTGGCAAGATGTGCGTGACCAAAGCCGAGTACGATGAACACGGAAAGAACATCTGCAGAGAAAAATTTGATTCTTGATTCCGCTGTATTTGTCAGTTGGAATCTTACCCATCCATTGCTGTTGCATATCAAACACAAGATTCAAACCAACCGGAGAGAAGTCCAACAGAATCGTGTGATTCACTAGGCTTTTAGAGTAAGTCGGTCTGTGACTCGTTCTGCGATGTACGTTATCAGGCAAAGTTAAGGTGATTTGAACTTGACCAAGTGAAAGAACTCTTCACGGAAAGGAAAGGCGTGATGGTCGAAATGACGGCTATTGGCGGCCAATTTTTTTTCCACCGTTGTTGACGTAGATGTTAACATACGACAGGAACAGTTGTGCAAGTGGTTATGCCTATGACTCATATGAGATGATCGCTTTGTTGCAACAGGAAAAGCTGTTATCAAGGCTAAATAAAGTCCTAACGCCACAAGTTATGCATTTTGTGTCTTTTTTCTGTGTACATTCAATTATTTGTAGATCTCCACTCTACAATTCGTCCAGTTATGGGAGAAATTAGATTTTCTCGCTCAACACCGATGGAACGTTTCCCTCTTACCATGAGAATATCAACTGATTTTCTCTTGCTATTAATTGCCTATTTGCCCGCTGACTAGATTATCTGTCTGGAGATTATGTTTGGGAGAATACAAATTTTAGAAGTTTAACAAAGAGGGTTCCCTTGACATTACCCATGAATTGATTTCATGTGTCTTCCCTCTGTTTTTCCTTCAGGCCTGCTGTGCCCTTTGATTTATACAGTGAATGGGAGTCTTCTCGATTTGAAAACACCTGGTTCTATTTACCTCTTACCTCCACTTCCCTCTGGCTCAATGTTCCCCCCTCTTTTTTTTTTTTTTACTCAAGAGAAAGAGTCGATGAACACTTTGGCTATATTTCTGTGCAGTAATTGATGTGTTAGTGAAATGATTTTCAGTCGAAAATCAAGACAAATAAAAACTACTAAGGTGCCTTAACAAGTGTGGTTCATACACTTAACCTCACAAAGGGAAGCGCGTTATTTTCGCGGGACTAGGTATTTTAACAGATATGTAAAAATTTTAGGGGATCGGTAATGAATTCTCTGAAATGATCTATGTCACGACTTGTGTATCTCTCGACTCTTGTAGTTGTTGTTTTGTTTTTACTAATTTGAAAGTGAAAAAATTGTGCACGTCATACCGTCAGATTCGTGAAGTTGCTTGAATCATAATATGCCTCTTCGTTGAGGAAAGTTTCAGATCGATTTAAATTCTGCGTGCAAAACTGGCAATTTTTTCCGTTAATCGTACAGGTATGCCCCGCTTTCATTTCAGTTTGGGATTATGAAATATACCGTGCGAATTCATTGTGTGGACATGTCACACAACACGTTACCTTGGAACCCTCTCCTGGTAAGTGTTGCGTGACGAGCCTAAATCGACATCCGCTGGACGGTGATCTAAATACAGGATTCCGACGTAAAGAACATGGCCGAAGGAACTTTCCCAGAAGAGAAACTTATTTCATCCATGTTCTCAGGAATATGGAAGAGCCGCTGCTTGAGTGTTCTGGTGTCATTAGGTGTCCCAGAATTGCTGTGTAACTCGGTCACTCCTGTCAGTATTCAAGAGATCGCTGAGCGAACTGGCTGCCACACAGGTGAAAAGATCTACAAGGTTTTGAGAACCATGGCTCAGTGGGGAATTGGGGAGGAATTAATCGAGAAACACTTTAAGGCCAATCGAGCCATGGAGTTGCTGAGGAGAGACAAAGGACAGAGTCTTGGCCATATGGTTGGATACTACGCAAGCGATGAAGTTTGGGCCGCCATGTTGGCTTTTCCACAGGCAGTCAAGGATGGCGGCGATACAGCGTTTGAACTTGCTCATGCGATGAATCTGTATGACTACATGTACAGAGCTGAGGAACTGGAGTATTCTCCTCCCACGAAGTCAGAAGATATAGCTTCTGACATGGGTACGAAACAGAGGAGATCGGAATTCGCACACAATTACGATCGCGCAATGAGCATGTTGTCCCAGATGGAGTTGGACAGCGCACTGCCAACTTTGTTTACAGTATACCCCTGGGTCAAGTGCGAACGAATCATGGACATCGGGGGAGGGGAGGGTCAGTTTTTATCGCAGATTCTTAAACTGCCAGGCTGTGAACATATTAAAGGAGTATTATTTGACTTTCCCGATGTAGTCGAGCGTACTAAATTGTTCCTAGCCAAAGAAAATGTACCAGATCACAGAGTGACATTGCTGAAAGGAGACATCCTGGATGGAATTCCGAAGTGCAAAGAGGTAGATACAATCATTGTGAAAAATTTATTTGTAATTTTTACAGAAGATGAGATGGTAAAAGTTTTGGAAAACTGCCGTCAAGTTCTTGCTGCACATGGCAAATTTATTATTGTTAACAGTTGCAACCCTGAAGCAAGAGATACGGAGCATAATGTTACCAAAACTGGTTTACATCTGGGTTTTCGTGGCATTCACATCATGGCGATGAGTAAGATGGGACATTTCAGAACGAAGAGTGAGTGGCTGAACTTGATTGACAGGTTATGCAAGAAAGTAGCTTTTCGACTAAACGCAGTCTATGAGACTGGTGATGGTCCTACATTGTTTGAGCTGCTAACTTGCGAATAGATGGTTTTTTCCTTCTTGTGGGTTCAAAGTGGGCCTTTTCATTTGGAGGCGATGGATTTAAAAAATTGAATGAACTTTTGACTTCTGTTTGCTGTCCTCCAATACAAGCTGAGAAATATGAGCACGATTTAGAAGCAAAATTAATAATTCCAGCTCAAAGAAAGCAATTACTAAAGGAAAATCATCTTAGAGATTAAGGTTATGTCAATCAATTTAAAAAACACAGATTGAACCCGAACTTCTCAAGGTGACAGAATTAATTGAGGTGAAGCAGTACAATTTTGGAAGATATTGGTCTGAGCTCCTTTACGATTTAATATTATTTCTTTACACCTATGGTAGAATAAAACAATCGTACACACATTACTGTAACTGTATATGTTGCAAATGAGAAAGCGGAACATGAAGTTGAGTGTAAGATGTTCATTACCTCGAGTCCATGCTAAATGCTGGCAAAAATCCACCATAGAAAATTCCTAATCAGGTCAAATACGTGCGATACGTGACCTGCTGACTTAGACATTTTTGCGGATAACCTTCAAGGTTCTACAAGGCTTTTATAGGGTTAATCTTCTGGGAAGATAAACCTGATACTTCATAATTCTCAGAAATTAAACACGCCACCTTCTCTAACCTTTGCTGATCAAAATAGAGACTCCCAGGTGAAGCACAAAAATTCGAAGTGTACTGACCTTCTTTTTTCCTTAATTATTCCTTCGATTAAAAATTATTCTCTCCCAAACATTTACGTAGAAATAAGTATGGAGAAATTGTCAGCACAACAGGCGATAGAATGAACATAAATGTAATGTGAAACATTTTCTAGAAGCACAAAAGGTTCGTGAAGCGCACGAGCTTGAACGCTGCTTCTTTCGTAGTCTGTTGTTTATCCGCAATATGAGGGTATTTCCAGGAACTTACTTATTGGCGGTGCTTTTCGTTGTATGCAAAATTGCCTTAATGGTTGAAGGTAAGAGGAACTGCTTTTAAAGTTAATAGATTCTGAAATTATTTTCTAGCGAGACGAGCGATCGACGGATTGGATCGAAAGTGAAGATCAGATTGACATGCAATCGCTGAGAATTAGATGAGATGCCTTTGCATTTGCGAAGAGATTCCCGCTATTCA